TACAGAGTCCCAAGGCTTTGGGCCGTGCTCCACTGCTTTCCCAGGCCACAAGCAGGGAGCTGGATCAGAGGTGGAGCAGCCAGGACTCCAGCCAGTGTCTATGTAGGATGCCACAGATGGAAGGTTAGCTTGCTGTGCCACAACACTGGCTCCTAAATATTTATTTTTTCATTTTGTTTTTTTTTTCCCACAAATATTTTGAAGTCCCCTCTGTAGAAGCAACCATATTCTCTTGGAAGCTGTTTAGTGAGCAGGCTAGGCCGATCGTCTGTTTTGAAGGTGTTAACGTGAAAGGGACCAACCTAAGGAGGAGCAGGGCTGGAGTGGAGGCAGGTATACACACTGCAGGGGAAGGAGTCACGGTGGCTGTGGGGAGGGTGGCCTGCGGGCAAGGCGACATCAGGATGCCACCGACATCCTGATCGGCTCTTCCAGAACTGGAGAAAGAGCTCTGGGAAGTTGTGAATCACAGCCAAAACTCTTGGAAAGAATGAGATAAAGTTGAGACTATTCCCTGATTAGGCAGATGCAGAGGGTAGAGGTGAGTGACACGGGAAATGGAGCCAGCAAGGTCGATCTGCCTAGAAAATCCAGCGTCAGGCTTGGAAACGAGGCTTTGACAAGGGGCAGAGTGGCCAGTGTCGGGGTGCAGGATGTTGAAGCTGTGCTTGGAAGAACAGTGTCCTTATTGAGCGTTGCTTCCAGTTGTCCCACGGGACACCTGAGGGTTAGGTTGTCCCACGGGACACCTGCGGTCAAGCCTGCCACTGCCTCCCCGTGAACTCTGTACCTGTGACGGGAGGGGGCAGAACTGCTCTCCCCACCCCCCCAGGTACCACACGCAGCGCCCCGGGAGGTCTCACCGCGGGAAGCAGGGCTGGGGGCACCCCAGGAGGTCTCCCCGCGGGAAGCAGGGCTGGGGGCCGCCCACAGATGCAAGGTCGGTTTCATTCTCTGATGCTTGGTGGCATTCTGCCTTTCAAATGAAATCAGTAACAACAAAACAGAAGACTTTGGTGGAGGAAAAAATGATGAAAAACAGTATGAAATAATGGACTAGGGATCCTATAAAAGCATTTCCTGTAATTAAGGGACATATTTCTGGATTGAAGGAGCTTACTTGTTGCCCAGCTTAGTTTGTGAACAAAGTCTGAATATTGTGAAATTTCAGAGTGCCAGAGAAAACAGGCTTTTCAGGGAGTAAAAATCACCCAAACACCTTTAGAGAACAGACTCAGAAGGGGTCAGTTTCTGGAATACCCTCCAACTGGGAGAAGGTGGTTTTGGCGTAGAGTTCTGTGCCCAGCCGGCTTGTCTCTCGAATGCAACATGCTCCGAGTGTCCTGTAGCGTCTCTTGTAGGACACTCTGCAGGAGTTGCTGTTGGGCAGGCCAGGGCTCAGGTGCCCGCTGAAGTGCGTGCCCTGCTGATAAATCAAGGAGGAGCAGCGTCTGGCCTCGAGTGTGATCAAGGAAGGTGTCAGGGTAGAGCACCCAGCAGTGCGGAGAACAGCTGCTGCGGGGCCTCAGGGAGGTGTTCTCACAGAGGCGTGCATTCCATTACACTAGAACTAGGCGCCACTTGAGAGTTGCCACGGAAGTTTAGGAACAGTTAGCAGGAGATGCAGAGAACCTGAGGGAAAGAAAGAGAAAAGCAGAATCCGCCCCCAGGTGGGCCTTGTGGTACAGCTGGGTAAGCTGCTGCATGAGAGCCTGGTTGGAGCCCCGGCCGTGCTTCGCTTCGGGCTTCCTGCTAGTGCTCCAGGACGCAGCACGCGAGGCCTGCTGTCCGGGAGGGAGACCTTGGGGGAGGTCCCGCCTCCTGGCTTCAGCCTGAGTCATGAAAAATCTCAGTACCCACACCACCCCTTGTCACTTTCCTTCAAATAAATATGTTCAAACAAAAGGAAAGGACAGACTAGATTGAACAAGCAGACAAAGAGCACCATGGGGTTCATTTATTGTTAAATTTTTATTCTTGATAATATTTACATAGTTGATTAAGGATTAAGATGGGAAGGATTAAGGATTAGGGGAAAGTGGGTGACACCATGGTTTCCAAATTTTCTTTTTCTTTTTCCTGCATCTGGGGGAAGGGGGAAGCTGTGGAGAGAAGCCACACCCAGCTTCCCAGCTGCCTCAGTGCCCGGGGATGGGGGACGGGCACCCACCCCATGTCATCCCGGGGTTCCTGATGTGGAGCGTGTGTGGAGGGTTCTGCTCAGGTGAGTTTGGTAGTTCTGAAATGCTGTCCATTTCCCCACTCCAAGGATGAGAAAAATCTCTCCTAGGTCCACTGGCTGACGTGGGCCACCTTAGAGTTTCCATCCACCCAGATACTTGCTGCCAACGCTTGCTGGGGTAGTTGACCAACTTGTCTTACCCTCCTTCCTCTGCTGCGGTGTCAGTTACTTTCTGCAGGCCCCAGTGGCCTGCCGTATCCTCCATGTGCATCTGGGTGTGCTGCCCACTGCTCCATCTGCGTCACCGAGGAGGCCCGGTTCTGACACATGCACTCCACGGTCAGACCACAGATCTGGGATCCCCAGGGTGGTTGGAGTTCTGAGTCCAGCGGTCCAGCTGCATGAGGGTTCCCCAGAGAAACCTCATCAGAGGTGACCTCAGACCTGACTGCTGTGTGTGCCAGTCAGTACGGGGTCCAGCTCAGTCTATCACCCGCGTCAGCCCACACACAGGGCAGTTGCCGGGTTGGTTCTGTCTCCAGCCCCATCCCTCACGCAGACAAATGGAGGAAATGACATCATATTACAGATCCTGTTGAAGGTGACTTTGGAAAAAATAGAAACCTTGGTATTCTTGCCTTGAGAACACTAGAGAGGAGGCAGGGGGTGTAGCAGGGGCGTGGCAGAGACCTCACTCCTCATGGATGACTGGAATTCGCAGATCAAGAATGTCTGTAGGCCTATAGAGGTGGGATACAAGGTCAGCCGCGGGGCTGGGGGCAGCTGCCAGCGTGTGTCGGGGAGGGCACGCCTAGTGCTGTGTACACTCTTTAGATGCTGTTGGACTCCAGGTTGCATGTTCTGTGTCCATCTGAGGTGGAGCTAGAGGCCTGAAACTAACTCACAGCCAGTTAGGTTGGTTTCTGATTTCACAGCTACTTAACACAATTGGTTCATTGTAGAATCGTGAAGTTCTAGAAGTGCATATATGACTGATGAAAATAAAACATTGATGAGTGTCCCTACTTCAGTGTGGTTCTCACTGTCAGCTTTCAAACCCATCCTCAGTGTGTGAGTGTGTGTCAGTTCCTGCCCAAGCTAAGAGTATGCAGGGGGTGGATTCTGTCCCTGGTAACACAGTGGCTTGAGCACAGGGTATGAACAGTGGAGGGGGCTGCCCCTGGCCATTGCTGTGGTCTCCCAGCCCCAGAGGCTCCCATCCCTCATCCCAGTGTTGGGCGCCATGTCCAGCGTCTGAAGGTTCATCACAGCTCTGCAGCAGCTGTGGAGGATCACGTGTTCTGTCAGGGTCTTTTGTAAATGTTTGGGGGACGCAGGAAGGACTCTTTCACCTGTTGGCTACATCCCCGGATGGCTGCAGTCAGGGCTGGGCACTGAGTCCCTGTGCACAGTGGCAGGAGGTGGGCTCAGGAGAGGAGCCAGGGCTCACTCCCACATGTCTCAGCCAGCATCCTAGCTTCCAAGTCAAGGGCCATTGCTTCCCTCGCTCCCTGAGCTATAGTATGGCATAATTTACATACAGTTGAGTTTTGACATAAGTCTCAGTTGTGATAAGAACTTTCGTTTTGGCCTCCAGAAGTTCCTTGTGCCCTTCTGGTCAGTCTCTCCCCAGCTCCTGCTCTGGTGTCATAGTGTGTCTCCTGTAGACTCTGTTCTTCTGGTTGGACTTTGGGTCACACCCTTTTTCAAAATACAAGCTTTAGGGGCCAGTGTCATGGCTAAGTTGGCCAATCATCAGCCTACTAGCATTGGTGTCCCATGTGGGATCCAGTTCCTGTCCCGCTGCTCCACTTCCCGTGTTATCTCCCTGCTTGTGGCTTGGGAAAGCAGTAGAGGATGGCCAAAGTCTTGGGACCCTGCATCCGTGTGGGAAGAGGCTCCTGGCTTTGGATTGGTTCAGCTTCAGCCATTGCAGCCATTTGGGGAGTGAACTAGCGGGTGGAAGATCTTTCTGTCTGTAAATCTTCCTTTCCAAAACAAATAAGTAAAAATTTGTAAAACAAAAGATTTATTAATTTGAAAGGCAGAGTTACAGAATGAGATGAGATAGAGGCATCTTTTATGTACTAGTTCACTCTGCAGAAGGCTTTCATTGTCAGAGCTGACTTCATTTGAAGCCAGGAACCATGAGCTTCTTTCGGGTCTCCCATGTGGGTGCAGGGGCCAGTGACTTGGGCCGTCCTCTGCCGAATTCCCAGGCCCATTAGCAGGGAGCTAGATTGGAAGTGGGCTAGCCGGGACTCAAACCAGCAGCCATGTAGATGCCAGTGGCTGCAGGTGACAGCATAACCAGCTACTCCACAGTGCTGGCCCTGGGGCTCCACCCTTCCTTCACTAGAAGCTGGCTGAGCCTTGTTATAGATCTTGGTACATGTCGGTTTTTGTAAGACAGATTCTTAGAAGTGAATGTGTAGGTCATTCGACAGGAATCTCGGATGCCTGAGAGATGCCTGCGGGGCACATGTTGCTGCCCAGGCTTGGCTGGAGGCCTGAGGCTTTGCGCCCCTAAACGCCCTGGCCATTTCCAGTCTCCTTGGTTCACGGCATTTTGTCCCTTCTGCCCATTCTCTTTAGTTTATGTTCTGTTGGAAACTTTGCCGTTTTTTATTGATGACATTTTTGTTTCAAAGATGGGTTCTGTTGACTTGGTGTAACCATTCTGGGTTTGTAAGGTGAATGGTCACACTTGGGCTGGAGTGGATTTGCCCTGCTCTTTGCTCATTAGTTCCCTGGTGGCACTCTTCTGTAATTCACTGAGTAATCAGTTGCGTTTCTTGGCTTGCATTGCCTTTTTCAGGTGGAAGGGGTTAGAGACTCATGATGTTGTAATAGAGTGTGCCAAAATCTCTCTGGACCCTGCGGAGGCCTCGTCTGAAGATGGCTATTCTGTGTCCGAGCAGCTCGCCGCGCGGCCCGCTCGCCATCCAGCCGACGTCACCGCCAGCCCTCACGCGGACACACAGAATAGCTATGGTAAAAAGTGACCTTGATGCTTGTCTCTTTTCAACTTGGCATTTGGGAAGCATTGTTTATCTTGGTTCATTTTGTCTTCTTTCTGAAAACAAAATTTAGTACAGTTTCTAGGAAGTTCCCCTACCCCTGATATTTTTAATTGACTCAGCCTCCGTTGTCTTCTAATGAAGTTCTCCTTCAAGTTTAATTTGAATGTCCTGCTGATAATACTGCCAGCAGCTCTGGCAGTGTTGTCTTCCGGCTTCAACAAAGAAAATGTGCTCACGTCATTGACAGCCCTGGGAAGGGAGTCTTTGTACCCCCGGACACCCGGAGCGGAGTGGCTCTGGAGTGAGTGGGGACGGCTTTAGGCCTGGGTCCACCTCGGTAATTGCAGCCCCTGAAGGTGCCATGGGCAGCGTGTGTTCCAGGTTGTCTGAGGCTCAGCTGGACGGCAGCCTTCCCGAACGCCATTTCCAAGGGCGCTTTGAAAAACCTTCCAAGTGCTGTTGTGTTATTGCCAGGAGTGTCAGCTTTTGCAGATATGGACAGTCGGAGGGCCGTGATTTCTTACTGGCATGCCCTGAAGCCACGCCGTAACCCTCTTTGTTCTTGTTTTAGGGAGTGCTACTTCTACCCCTCACCCCTCTTCTCGGCCGACGTTAAACACGCCAGGGCAGCTACCTCAGAGTTCTTCCCTGTCGACACGGCTGTTAGCTGAGCCGTCGCAAGTATGCTGTCCAGTAGTGGCCTTGCCTTGTGCTGTGCTTGTTGGGGAAGTTGCCCTTGGGGTGAGGTCTGAGGGTGTGGCTGGGAAAGCATCTCAGTCTCAGCAGTCCCTCTAAGCATCTGTGACGTTAGCCTGCTGCTTGGGTTTGCTTGAGTTCAGACGTGCAGGTTGCCCCTTACCTGTCAGTCAAGCTTTAATAAGTTGCCTTTCGCCACTTGGAAAGGCAAAGTTCAAGGTGAACGTGTCCAGGACTGCGTGGCTGGTGTGGTGCTCCCGTTCCTCTCTCATGTGCTTCCTTAACGTCCCCAGGCTGCGCTCTGGAGCCCATCTACAGTTTGTGGTATGACCACTCCCCCAACTTCTCCTGGAAACGTCCCAGCTGAGCTGTCGCACCCTTACAGTAAAGTGTTTGGTACAACTGGTATGTAGGCCTCAGGCTGGGTTCCACCGCGGGTTCTATCTTGTCTTCTGTGAAAGGAGCAGCTATCTCTTAGATCTGATAGTGAGTTGGAAGGTCACTTGTGGCAGTTAACTTGTTCTTGAAAGTTAATAGCAACTTCTGGGGCTTTCAGAGCAGGTGAAGTGGATGTTAGACAAACAGGAAAAGACTGCTCTATATCTGGGTCCCAGAAAGAGAGTTAGCTTTGTTGGGAAGCATGCTGAGGGTTGGCTCGGTGTTCATATCTGTCCCCCTTGTCTGTGTCTGAGCAGGTGGAAGAGGAACTCCTCTGGGAACCCCAGCGACTTCCCCTCCTCCGGTCCCCCTCTGCCACTCGGACGACATCGCACTGCCCCAGGCCACAGCCACACCACCCAGGAAGGTGCGTGCCAGCCGGCCCCCTCCACCCAGGCCACAGGGTTGACTGCAGGCCTTTTCGGAGGATAATCTAGGCCACACAGAATCCTGGCCTCAAATGCAGTGGGTTTGAATCAGATCGGTTGGAAATGGATGAAGCAGACGCTCTCAAGGCGAGAACTGCTGGCCCCCAGGCTTCCAGCATCCTAGCTAGTCCAGCAGGTCAGCTCTGCCTCCTGCCCCTGCGGAGCTGCACGCACCCTCCCCGCTATGCCAGCACCTGCAGGGACGGCAGGAGCCACGGAAGCCAGTCGGTGCATCAGTGCAAAGGGACCTGGTCGGCGTGATGTCCTTCCTTGACGGGGCCTTTCACTGTAAAAACGGAGAACATTTTAAAACTTCCGAGTGTTTGCATTAGTAACAGTAGGCCCTCGGGAAGCTGCACCTGTGTGTGTAGTGTTCTCTGTGAGGAGATGGGCAGGGTGAAGGTGCCTATGGCAGATCCGCCACCTGCTGACGCACTGGCATCTCAGTTACTTGAGAGCTGAACTGGCGATTTGTTTCCATGGTACACCAGTTTCTTTTGAAAACAAGTGACCGAAACCCCGATTATTCAGCCTTGGGTATTCAGCAGGCAGTGTCCTAAGTGATGGCCTTTGCCAGTCACTTCAGGGTACACTCTTGACAGTGGTTGCTAACGAGAAAAGTCAGCTTCCAGCTGAAAAGTAAGACTTAGTTAAACAGGCGGACAGCCAGCGCTTGCTAGTGTGATGGCTTCCCCAGGACTTCTGTGATGAAGTGAGCTGATGATTTAACTTCCTGATGTGCAATGAGAAGATCTGAAAACTCCAGTGTAAATGAGTGAGCCAGTGTTTTCTCAGTGTCCAGCGTGTGATGTTGCCTGGTCACGCACTGGTGTCAGTTCGTGTCCCAATGCAAGGTGGACCAATGGATCTAACACAGGCGAAAAGACAATTGCAGGTTTCAGATTCAACCTCATAACTTTTATTAAACTACCACTTGGGCCCAGTGCAGTAACATAGCAGCTAAAGTCCTCACCTTGCACATGCTCAGATCCTATATGGGCACTGGTTCTATTCCCAGTGGCCTCACTTCCCATCCGGCTCCCTGTTTGTGGCCTGGGAAAGCAATCAAGGATGGCCCAAAGCCTTGGGACCCTGTACCCACATGGGAGACGCAGGAAGTTCCTGGCTCCTGGCTTCAGATCAGCTCAGCAGCATCACTATTATGACTACTTGGGGAGTGAGTCAGCGGACAGAAGATCTTCCTCTCTGTCTCTCCTCCTCTCTGTGTATCTGACTTTCCAATCAAAATAAATCTTAAAAAAAAAAAAGAAAGAAACTACCATCTGTCAAGTTCTGATGTGATATCAAAGATAGGTATCCACTCTGATTTGAAAAGTCTGCTAAAAAGCATTTATGGGGGGTGGGAGTGCCATGGCTCAACAGGCTAAACCTCCACCCTCAAGCGCTGACATCCCATGTGGATGCTGGCTGGTGTCCCAGCTGCTCCACTTCCGATTCAGCTGCCTGCTCATGGCCTGGAAAAGCAGTAGAGGTTGGTGCCGAGTCCTTTGTACCTCTGCACCCGTGAGGGAGACCCAGAAGAAGCTCCTGGCTTCAGACACACCCAGCTCTGTCTGTTGCAGCCATCTGGGGGTGTGAACCAGCAGATGGACAATGTTTTTCTGGGTAAATCTGCCTTTAAAAAAAGTTTTCCTTCTGTAACTTCATATCTCTAGATTTTCTTCCATTGCTTTTGTAAAAATTGCATATTGCTGCTGACCGGGCACGGAGGCAGCCGTGACACCGGACAGGTCAGAAGTCATGAGTGCAGCAGGTTCACTCTCTCAGTGGGACTTTATTTATTTTGGAAAATGTAGGGTTTTTTCATTAAAACATGCCCCTATTATGTAATGAATTTGTTTTTAATGAAATCATAAATACTTATTGAAGTCTGTTTTTAATTACTAGTTTTTTAACATTTTGATTTGAAAGGCAGAGTTTACAGATGGCGAGGTCTTCTTTAAGCTGGTTCTTTCCTCCACATGGCCAAGCTGTCCAGAGTTGGGCTGCTTTAAAGCCAGGAGCCAGCAACTTCTGTCGGTTCTCCCATATCGGTGCAGGGGAACAGGGCCTAAGTCAAGCAGCCAGGTCTCAGAACGGAACCCATGGAGGGTGCCAGTGCTGCAGGTAGCAGCTTTACCTGTTGCCTTGAAGTTTGTTTTAATTTTTAAATATTGTAATGACTGGTGGATATAACCATGTCAACAGAAACTGCATTCTCAATCATTTTTAAAATTTATTTATTTTGGGCCTGGCGCGGTGGCGCAAGTGGTTAAGGTCCTCACCTAGCACGCCCGGGATCCCATATGGGCGCCGGTTCTAATCCCAGCAGTCCCGCTTCCCTTCCAGCTCCCTGCCTGTGGCCTGGGAAAGCAGTCGAGGACGGCCCAAAGCTTTGGGACCCTGCACCCGCGTGGGAGACCCGGAAGAGGCTCCTGGCTTCGGATCGGCATAGTATCGGCCGTTGCGCTCACTTGGGGAGTGAATCATCGGATGGAAGATCTTCCTCTCTGTCTTTCCTCCTCTCTGTATATCTGCGTTTCCAATAAAAAGAAAAAAAACATAATAAAAATAAATCTTTAAAAAAAATTATTTATTTTTATTGGAAAGGTAGATTTATAGAAAGGAGAGATTAAGGTCTTCCATTTGCTGGTTCACTCCCCCAATGGCCACATTGCCAGAGCTGGGCCAGTCCAAAGCTGCGAGCCAGGAGCTTCTTCTGGGTCTCCCACGTGGGTGCAGGAATCCCGTGGAGTTGGGCCATCCTCTGCTGCTTTCCTGGACCATAAATAGGGAGGACACGAACCGGTGCTCATGTCGGGTGCTGGTGCCACTGACAGAGGCTTAGTGCGCGGGGATGAGCTAGTTTGAAGATCCCCTCGAGTTTGAAGTCCTCGAGCCCTCTAGAACATGTTCCGGGACAGGCACGCCCTCTGCCAGTGATGTAAGTGGTGCATGTCTTTTCAGGAGGAGAGAACAGACTCCGTGAGGCCAAGTCTGCACAGGCAGCCTCACCTCGCCAACGACAGAGTGGGAGCAGGTGAGCTCTGGGTGACCATGATCTCCCGCCCCTCCCTGGTTCTCTGTATTGACCGCAGACACAAGGAAATCTGGACTAGACTGCTAGCCCGCTCAGGCCTCGGAGCCGTGAGCCGCGCAGTGAGTTCTGGAAGCTGCCTGGAACTTCCCAGGAAGGCTCTCACGCTGCTGCGGTGAAGCACCTGCAGCTGATTGGCCAGACCAGCTGTTCGCGCCTGCTCTCAGAGCCGGTCAGGCAGCAAGAACCTTCATTTCCGTGGGTGGGTTTGCTTTGGGATCCTTTAGTTAGGTGTGTGCTCTCCGCAGGGCAGAGCTGCTGCCCTGGCACCGGGTGCGGTCGGGGTGGCGAGTGTGTCTTTCTTGAACATGAATTGCTTTGTTTCCCTTCAGAAGAGCTACATGGCAACAAAGGTCCTGTGGCCCTCAGAGACCTCCCGGGGCTTTTGGGTGACCTGGCTTCTGATGAAGACAGCATTGAGAAGGAAGAAGGTAAACCCAGGGGTGGCTGGAGGGACGAAGCTCGGCCCTTGTTCTGCCTTCAAGCACTCAGGGACTTGCATGGTTCTTTCCTCTGAAGTGAAGAATGTGGGTGTTTCATTGCAGGCCTAAGCCTGAAAGGGGGTGGCTCTGGGACAAGGTGGCCTGTGGCCCCAAACCACTGGCTTTGTGTTCACTGGGCTGCCCTCCTTCCCACAGCTGCGATATTTGAAGAACTTTCTGAGATCACCACAGCTGAGGCCGACCCCGTGGCCCCCCGAGGGGGCTTTGACTCTCCCTTCGACCGCGACGGCCTCCCAGGTCCAACACGCAGGATGCACTCGGCGGCCTCTGGCGCACAGGGCACCAGCGCCAACCCTGAGCCCCTACACTCCTCCCAGGACAAGCACGGGCTAGACACACCAAAGCAAGCCTTTACTCCCATTGATCGGCCCCCCAGTAGTGCCCACGACAGCCCCGCCAGGCACAGGGAGCGCCAGGCTTCGTCGGAGACGAGCATCCTCACGCCCAGCCCTTGTAAAATCCCCCGGCAGAGGAGCGTGGGCTTGGGAAGCGGGCAGCCACCCCCGTATGATCACCTCTTTGAAGTGGCCTTGCCAAAGACTGCCCATCACTTTGTTAGCAAGAAGACCGCGGAACTGTTAAGGAAAGCGAAAGGCAACACAGAGGACGACTACGTGCCCTCGGCCTCCCCGGTGGAAGTGCTGGACAGGCTGATCCAGCAGGGAGCGGACGCACATGGCAAGGAGCTGAGCAAGTAAGGGGGTGCTTATGTTCCAGGAGAATTGCTCTGGAAGTGTCAGGGTGGGAGCAGGAAATGTGTGGCCCCCCAGTCCCCCTTCTCTGCCTGCTGGGCAGCTGTCCTCCCTGCCTGCTGCTGCCCCATGCGTGAGAACGTGCTGCCCCCAAAGCCCCTTCCCTCGGGAGGGCAGAGTGAATCTGGACTCAGGCTGTTTGGTGCCACTCTGCTGTGGGGCACTGCGATGCCTGCCGAAAGCTGGATGTTAAAAAGGAGGCTCTGTTACTTCAGAGAACATGGGACGATTGTCACCTTGTCCCCCTCTCCAGTTACAGGTGTGAGCTTTTATCATCATCTGTTTGGTAACAGTTGGCGATATGGATTGTAAGACAGCATTGTATTGAGGGGCAGGCAGCCTGCCCCCAGCAGCCCCGCTCGCAGGCACCTGCTGCTGCCTGACCCTTCCAGCTCCTTTTCCAAGGATCGCCAGGAGAGGATGGAATGGAACTTGTCCCGGCTTTGAATCCTCTGCCATTTCTAGCAGCATTATCAAGTGAACTTGTGTGATAGGGCTTAGGGTATGGGAGCTTCTTTTCAGATGAGACTTGATAAAGGAGGCAGCTCAGGTGAACCCCACCTTTCCCTGTGGAGCTGCCCCCCAGCAGTTTCAGCAGAGGCAGAGCACGGCATGCTTTCAGCTCTTTGCCCGCTGATGGGACAGGGGCTCCTGCACTGGGAGGCCTGGTCAGCCCTGAGCGTTGCTGCGGTAACTGGGGGAGGACAGAGCTGACCCTGACCCCAGGCTGGGCTGACCCTAAGAACAGATTTCCGGCGGCCCCTGAGGCAGTGACATCCGGCTGCAGCACGGAAGGGCCGGAGCAGCCCCACCTCCCTTGCTTGTGAGGAGGCCTTTTCTTACCTCTCTTACTCCCTGCTTACAGTCAGCCTGTCTGCTAGACAGGGAAGGAAAGTCCGTGACCTGCAGTTCCCTGAAAGAAAGGACATCTAAATTCTTTTTGTTTATTTGGCTGATGTATTCCTTCCCATGGTGGTTGGTGAACTTAACAATCGCCAGCGGGGGCACCCACTGCCAGCCCCATGCGGACCCTGAGTGGGACACTTTGCTTAGGTTGTGTCCTTTGAGCAGGGGAAATTTTCTAATGTTACTGCCGCTAAAATCCAGTGAAGTGTTTCCTGGGTCACACTGTAACTGTGTCACCCCAAACCTCTCGCCCTAGGCTGTCCTTACCCAGCAAGTCCGTCGACTGGACCCACTTTGGAGGTAACTCTGGTGCTCGAGCTCACAGTCTAGCCCCGCTGCTCCCTGCCCGCCCCCCTCTGCCTTCCCTGTCCCCCAAGAAGCAGCGTGCCCCTGGCCACTGCACCTGCTGTTTCTCTGCTTGGTCCAGAACTGTCAGGTCCTGCCATTTGGAAAAGTGGCCCGTACCTTGCACCTGAGAGCCACCGTGCCCAGACTGCCCTGGGAGAGGCAGAGTGAGGCCAGTGGTGTGAGGGAGTGACCCTGTGGGGGAACAGGCCAGCGGAGGAGTGGGGTGCAGGTGGGCAGGGGTGTGGCCCTGAGGGAGGCAGGCTGTCAGAATGCCCATGCAGAGCCCAGCCCCTTGGCGCTCCCCTGGCAGGGAGAGTTGTGGTCCCTGTAGCATTTCTCCCGCTCTGCCCCAACTGAGCGCCGCCTGTGGGAGGAGCCTGATGGAAGATGTCAAAGGCATTTCTGCCCCTCCCTCTGCTTCACAATCAGGCTCTCCCCCCTCAGATGAGATCCGCACCCTCCGGGACCAGCTGCTGCTGCTGCACAACCAGCTCCTCTATGAGCGCTTCAAGAGGCAGCAGCATGAGCTCCGCAACAGACGGCTGCTGCGCAAGGTGACCGGCGCCGCGGCCCTGAAGGAGCACAACGCTGCCATGGTGAGGGCTGGGGGCTGCAGGGGCTACGAAGGGGTGCTGGGTGGTGGGCCTCAACGGGTGCCCTGTGTGCAGGCCATGTGAGTGGGCTACAGTGGGCACCCTGTTCGGGGGACCATGGAGGTGGGAGGCCGTGGGGGTGGGCTCCTGTGGGCGCCGTGTGTGGGAGGCCGTGGGGGTGGGCTCCTGTGTGCACCCTGTGTGGGAGGCTGTGGGGATGGGCTCCTGTGGGCGCCCTGAACAGGGGCTGCCTGGTTCCTTGCAGAGGGCAGCAGCTGAGTCGGGGTGAGGGCTCTCAGGACCAGTTCTGTTCACCCAGGTGGCTAGGGCAGGTCACATGGTCTCTCAGGAGCCTGTGCGGATGTGTGAATCCCAGAATTGCCCTGGAGCTCTCAGAAGCCATGGTGGCAAGCACCCGTGGCTGTCTGCTTCTAACTGACGGAAGTTACTGTATTTCTCCATGTGTGAGCGCGGAGTGGGTCAGCGCTGGGTTTGAAGAAGGCTGGGTCTTGGAAGCCTCCGTGTCGCAGTCCTTAGATAGCCTCCCTGCCTTGTGGGTTCTCAGCGCTGTGGTGGCGGGCAGGACTTCTGAAGCCCCGGCTGCAAGGTGGTCCATGGGAAAAGTTCTTTAAGGAACTTAGGATCCATTTACTAATGTGAACTATCGAAAACCATGACTTCACTGCTGGGTCTGGCGGCTTGTGACTGCTGAGGTCCCGTGTTTCCACTTGCGCCGGGCTCCAGCATCCCTGCCCTGCCCGGGAGGCGGCCAGTCACGGCCTCTCTTTCTCTCTGCTAGAAAGATCAGCTGATGCTGCAGGAGGGAGACATCCAGATGTGGAAGGCCAGCCTGCAGCAGGAGCAGGCACGGTACAGCAAGCTCCAGGAGCAGCGGGACACGGTGGTCACCCAGCTGCACAGCCAGCTCAGGCAGCTGCAGCACGATCGGGAGGAATTCTACAATCAGAGCCAGGAGTTACAGGTATCCATGGCGACCCAGGCAGTGCTTCCTGGAGAACTGTCCCTGCCCAGCTGAGCCGAAACGGATAGTCTCTCTGAAATCGTGGCGATTGTCCCAGTGAGAGCAGTGGCTCTCCAGATTTGTTGGGGTGATGTCCGGGTTGCTTTGTCTTGGTCCTGAGCAACTGGAAGGAACCCGAGTTTCTGCTCAGTCGGCAGAGCTCACAGCCTGCAAGTGTTGTGACCAACAGGGCAGCCCCCACACGTGACATGCTCTCCATCATTGTGAATGACTGTAGGTCTTAATGCCACGGAGTGGCTGTTGGCCCTGTGTGGCATCTCGGGGTGGAGTGGTGAAGCCGCGTCCCTGTTCCACTTGGGCTTTCCCAGCTGTCACCCGAAGCCCAGGCCAGCCACGTGAGAACACCTTGCCTGAGGGCTCGTGCTCAGCCTCCCTGCATCTGGTTGGGAGTTCACACGGTGCCCAGCAGGTGTCGCTCCCGCTCCACAGCATCCTGTGAGCTGGAGGCGCAGCCTTGGGCTCTCGGGCAGTTTGAAAACTGGATCTGAAGTCTTGTTGTTTTTCTTTCTTTTTTTAATGTTTAAGATTTATTTATTTTTACTGGAAAGTCAGATATACAGAGAGGAGGGCAGAGAGGAAGATCCTTCGTCTGTTGATTCACTTCCCAAGTGGCCACAACGGCTGGAGCTGTGCTAATCCAAAGCCAGGAGCCTGGAACTTCTTCTGGGTCTCCCATGTGGTGCAGGATCCCAAAGCTTTGGGCCGTCCTCCACTGCTTTCTTAGGCTACAAGCAGGGAGCCAGATGGGAAGCAGGGCTGCTGGGATTAGAACCTGTGCCTATATGGGATCCCAGCATGTACAAGGCGAGATTGCTAGCCACTAGGCTACCACACTGGGCCCTGTTGTTTTCTTAAACAGTAAGAACCCAGAAAGCAACCATAATTTTCAAAATTCAGACTCTAAATCCTGATGGCCCAAGAACAGTGGCACGATAGAATCACGCATTCCCGGCGAGGTGTGGACCAGCAGCCAGGGGCTCGTGGGCTGATGCTGGTCCTGCTGGGACTACCTGTGTGTGTCTGGGCAGACCAAGCTGGAGGACTCCAGGAACACGATCGCAGAGCTGCGCATGGAGCTGAAGAAGGCCAACAGCAAGGTGTGTCACACGGAGCTGCTGCTCAGCCAGGTCTCCCAGAAGGTGAGCTGCACAGGCTGCGGGGTGTGAGCCCCCACACCCCACAGGGAGGAAGGGTGCCCCCACACCCCACAGGGAGGAAGGGTGCCCCCACACCCCACAGGGAGGAAGGGTGCTCCCCACACCCTTCATGGAGCATTCTCTCGGTAAATGATGAAAGCTTCATGGGGTCATGGGGCTGTGACTCCTTCCTCTTGGGGGTTCACTGCACTCTTAAAGTCCTTTACGCAGGTCGGTCCCACTGGGCTTCGACCCCTGGACCTGCCCCTGCTGTGGGGGGCACGTGTGCCAGGGACCCCGCACAGCTGTGTTCTGCCCACATAGGACTCAGTCTGGTGGTTCCCTCTGACCACCAGCAGTGGTGGCAGGGTTGGAACTGAGGGGGTCTGGTCTGCGGGCGGCCTTTGGTGGTCTGGTGTGGTCGAGTGCTCACTGGGCGTGTGTTTCGTCCAGCTCTCCAACAGTGAGTCGGTGCAGCAGCAGATGGAGTTCTTGAACAGGCAACTGCTGGTGCTCGGCGAGGTCAATGAATTGTACCTGGAGCAGCTGCAGAATAAGCACTCAGACACCACCAAGGTGGGCAGGCATGGGAGCTGGGGGCACCCAGGCCCTGGATACAGGTGGGGTCGGGCCAGTCCCAGGGGAGCATGCTTTGGGCACAGGCAGTGGACGGCATGTCACACGGAGTGCCTGTGAGCGAGCTACGGTGCTTCTGGCTTGGCGGGACCAGCACTTGGTTCTCTCCCCTCAGCGGGTCCCTGTAAGCTCCATGAGGCAGACTCAGACACCGAGTGGTACAGAGTAATGTGAAGGTGGCACCTTTCCACCCATCTCTGTGCTCCCTGGAGAGAGGGGAGGGACAGGGAGAGCACAGCCCAGAGGATGAGCCAGGCTGCAGCACAGCGCTAGCGGGACCCTGGGCCCGCTGCACAGGCCTGCCGGGGCCGAGGGACCTGCTGGCCCTCCCAGTTCCTGCAGGTGCTGGCCCTGTCCCAGCCAGTAGTGCCTCAGCCTCAGCAGGGGTGCTGGGACATAGGTTCTCGATCACCTCACACAAGCCTTGAGACATGTTAGGGAGAGAATAGGAATATTGTATTAGGAATAGCATTTCAATAGTAAATGCTGCAGTGTTTCCTATACTGCCCTTCACACGTGGCCTTCTCCTCGAGACTTCCTGGGTTTGTTCTTCATAAAGCCCCTTTTTAGGGGGGCTGGAGATGGATGGCTTCCATGGTGGACTTGGGTTTCTGAGCCCTTCTCAGCTCCCAGATTCAGGCTGTCCGTGGCCAGCTAACTGGAGCTTTCTCTCGGGTGGACTTAGGGTAGCCTGGGGAGAAGTGGAAGGCAGAGCCGGGGCCTCCTCCTTCTCTCTGCCAACTTGAACAGCCACCTGACCTCTGGCTCCGTGGAAATTCTTAGAACCTTTCAGGAAGCCCTGGGTGACACATCCTGTGCCCCTAATTGCCAAGATTGTGCCCCCTTGCCCATCATTTCTTTTGAACCAATGAAGATCTGTCCTTGACTGGGCACTCATGTCACTCTGGTGGGTCCAGGGGAGGAGGGGTGGGAGTCTGGACCTCCGATGGAAGCTGAGCAAGGATCTTGGAAGGACCCTGGCTGTCCTGGTCGCTGGGTGACGCAGTGTGGCCTGTCCTCAGCAGCCATGCCACACCCTACTCCGTCCCCCACGCCAGCCCAGCCCAGACTCCAGGGCCACAGAACACGTCCTCTTGGCATGTGGCTAACAGTATCTTCCTGTGTCCAGTCTCTGGTTGTAACACACAGGTCAGTAGAAATGGTTATTCTGCATCATTTACGGAATAACAATGGGAAGAAAAGGCTCCCAGATGTTCAGGCCAGCTGCAGGACTTTCCTGGAGGATCTGTGATCCACTGTGGTTCTTGGGTGCGAAGAACCCAGGTCAGAGGCACCGCCACTGCTGAAGCCATTTAGTGTAGCTGCCCAGGCGCATCACCTGCAGGCACTTGCAAGCTACGGACTATTCGAGTCCCACAACAGGAAGTGTTAAGTTTGCCAGTGTGCGCTGATGTTAGGGTATCTCCTTGCTGTCCATCAGATCCTATGTTGTGTACACACACAGGCACACATGACACTTCTTCCTAAGTGGCTGTGCCGACCCAGGTGGGCTGCAGGCAGACAGGCAGGTGGGCTGGTAAGTGGGCAGACAGACAGGTAGGTGGACTGCGGGCAGGTGAGTTGGTAAGCAGGTGGGCAGGTGGACTGGTAGGCATGTGAGCTGAGGGCGGGCAGGTGGGCTGTGTGCAGGAGGGCTAGTGGGCTGGCAAGCAGGTGGACAGGTGGACTGGCAGCTGGCCATCTGCAGAACTGCCCCCCCAGCACCTCATCCCTTGCCTCCATCCCTGTTGGTAGTAAGAGAGAAAGGGGAAGGAGGCAAATGAGCCAGGGGCCACTGTGCCAGTGAGAGCCTGCGCACTGGCACGCTGTGTTTGGTTTGCTGGTTTGTGAATGCGCCTGTTTGCACAGATAATTGTCCTGCAGTTTTGTGGTCGGTCTGTGAGTCTTCTCCCAGTGCCATTCGTTGTAAAATCTTGGCCAACGTAAGACGTGCTGTTGTTCCCCCGCCATTATGTAGCACTAGACGTGCGAGTGTTTGCAGTGTTGGCTCCTGTGGAGAGTGCGGTGGAATGTCTGCTCCTCGGGGATGGGCTAAAGGGGGCTTCCAGGCACTCAGCCGCCCAGCTTCCAGAAGGCTCCCTGCTAACACTCAGCCAGCCTACCTTCTGGAAAGTTCCCCTGCTAACACTCAGCCACCCTCCTACCGGAAGGCTCCCCCGCTCTCTACTTCTGTTGCTTCCTGAGGTGTATACTCACCTTTTGTTTTAGGAAATGGAAATGATGAAAGCTGCCTGTCGGAAAGAACTAGAGAAAAGCAGAAGCCACGTCCTCCTGCAGAGTCAGAGGCTCGACAGCTCGCAGAAGCGGGTCCTGGAGCTGGAATCTCACCTGGCCAAGAAGGACCACCTGCTTTTGGAGCAGAAAAAATACTTAGAGGGTGTCAAGCTGCAGGCAAGGTAACTTTGCCCCAGAAGGGCATTTAGAGTGATATACTCTTTTAAATGTGTTTTATTGGAAAGGAAGATTTACAGAGGAAAGGAGAGACAGAGAGGGAAAGATATTGTACCAGCTGGCTCATTCCCAAGACGGCCACAGTGGTTAGAGTTGAGCCAATCCAAAGCCAGTGGCTTCTCACAGGTCTCCCGAATAGGTACAGGTCCCAAGGCTTTGGACTGTCACAGGCCACAGGCAGGGAGCTGGATGGGAAGTGGAGCACCGGCATACAAATTGGTGCCCACGTGGATTGCTGGTGCTACAGGCGGAGGGTTAACTTGTTGAGCCACCGCACCCCATGGTGCATTCTTTATCTGGTGGAACTTGCCACCTCCCAGCTGGTGTATGTCTTTCAGGGAACAGCTGCAAGCTGCCGAGAGCAGGTATGAGGCCCAGAAAAGGATTACCCAGATGTTTGAGTTGGAGATCTTGGACTTGTATGGCAGACTGGAGAAAGATGGCCTCCTGAGGAAACTTGAGGAAGACAAGACGGAAGCAGCTGAAGCAGCAGAGGAGAGGTAAGGATGAGAGCCGTGCCGCTGCTTGCAAGAGTGGGACTGCATCCCACGGCACAGAGAGCAGCAGTGTGTGAGCCATGGCCACAACCCCGAGCTCGCTGCCCTCAGCCCTCCTGGCTGCAGGTCACGTTCGTGGGCCAGGTGCTCTCCAGCACCTCTGCTTGTGACATGCTTTTCTCCGGATGAGCTCTGTTGCTTGGGTGCCCTGGGCGATGCAGACAGAGGGTGCGTGGGGCCGTGATTTTATCTTCCGCTTGCGCACGACCCCAGTCATAGCTTCTCTTCCCGCCCCTGCCCCTTTCCGGCTTCTTTCAGGCTTGGCTGCTGTAACGATGGTTGCTCGGATTCTGTGGCGGGCCACAAAGACAAGGCGCCTGGTCACAATGGTGAGACCAGGACCACCAGGCCCAGCAGCACTCGGGGGAGCAGCGGCGGCAGCAGCGAGCTTTCCACCCCAGAGAAACCTCCAAACCTGAGGGCAGGCCCGTTCAGCAGCCGGTGGGAAGGCAGCATGGTGGGGGAGGCCGCGCCTGGCATGCCCACCACCGTGGGCTCCCTGCCCAGTTCCCAAAGCTTCCTGGGCATGAAAGCCCGGGAGTTATTTCGTAACAAGAGCGAGAGCCAGTGTGATGAGGACGGTGTGAGCATCAGCAGCCTTTCTGAGGCTCTGAAGCCAGAGCTGGGCAAGGACTCGGGGGTGGAAGGCAAGACTGCCCTGAGCCTTGATGGTGCCCGCCCGGCTCCCCCGAGCCCGGACGGTGTGGGCCAGCTGCGTATCATGGACTACAATGAGACTCAGCACGGACACAGCTGAGGCTGAGGGTCAGTCAGTGTTAACCCGCATGGCGTTGGCGTGGAACAGGAGGTGTGACCGCACGTTTCTAAGCTTTCCTGTTTCCGGGGTCTACGTGGCTAGCTCCCGAGCTGCAGGCGGGAGGGAGGGCCTGTGGACAGCTGACTGAAGGCGCAACGGTTTTTGAATCCAGCATTGAAATGCCACTTCACGTTCCCCTGACCCATCCCCGAGCCCCTCCTTCGGTGCCCGGCAGTGTGTACTAGGCCAGGTGCCAGCTTGAGTTCCTCAGTAGCTTTATTTTTCCCTTCTCCCCAATGGTTGCACCCTTTGAGCCTGTGCAATATGAGGCCAGATGGAGCCCTGAGTCCAGCACACCACTCTGCTTTCCTGAAGCTCAGAGGGCAGGACGGGGTGGCTCTCAGATAGGTGGTTGGTGGCCCACCAGGTAAGTCTGGGTTTGTCCCGCGAGGAGGATGCCGCCTGCCAGGCGGAGCGGCTGGCCACGGGAGCTGCTCCCAAGGGCTTTTTCCTGCTCTCCGTTCTATAGTTGAGCATCTCAAGCAGCCAGTCTAGAAAACAATGGTGTATTTGCCTTGACCCTCTCTCGGTGGCTCTGATAAGCTTCCTGGAAAGGTCTCCTGAGCAGACGTCTTGTTTCCAAACCGCAGGGCTGGCGCTGTGGGGCCCAGCCTCGTCCCCCACCCCTCCCTCGGCCCACCTCTTATTTATTTGGTGTTTGCTTGAGCGCTGGTGTGGTGCTGACCACAGGCTGGACCGGGTGAGGTGGGAGACAGCTGCTGCCTGCGGGAGGCCTGGGGCAGTCTGGGGCACCAGGGTGGCCCGAGGCGGTCAAGGCCGCAGCTGCCTGCACAGAGGTGCTCGCGTGGGAGTAGGGGCGCCTCCTGGAGCAAGAGAGCAGATGTTTCACACCGACCCTAACGTGAGTGGGGCTCTCGCTCTCCAGGGAGCTTGTCTCTCCTTCCTGTGGCAGAGCCACGGAAGGCTGAGTCGGTTAGCCAGGGCTACCCGCCCCTGCAGGCTCCCATGAGCGGACACCTGTCAGAACGCTGCGGGTTCAAGCAACGCTCCAGACGTAAATGCTGGAAGACTCACAAGTGTGGCCTGGTGTTCTGGCTGAAGCAAGCGGTCAAAATAAGAGATACAGCCAGGAAGGGGTGAAGGAGGCCTCCATGGTACGAATTTTGCTGCACTCAGCAGTTGCCACCACATGAGAGTAAAAGGCTTTTTCTTTTTTTCTTTTTTTTTTTTTCTTTTCTTTTAATGTGGCAAAGAAACATATATATATGTACTCTAGTCTCCCCAGCCGGAGGGAACTAGTGGACGGGAGCCTGCACGTCAAGGTGATACTGGCAAGAAGACCTGCTGTGGACAGGAGCTGTGAGTGGATTAGCTGACTCGCAGCGCCCAGGAGGTCGCATCCCTGCCGCCTCAGCTCCCCCGAGGCCGCGCACCTGGGCGCACCTCGTGGGGTGTCTGTCACGCTTTTAACTCAGCTTTGTCCAAAGGAAGGAAGGCTTAAAGTGCAGTACTTTGCAGTTTCCTGGTTCCATCGTAGGGAAGGACAGCGCAGACTCAGAAAGGAAAACGTTCCAGACTCCTAATTAAGGCCAATTTTTAAGTTCTTTCCCCTCCCGCCAGAACACACACAGCGGGCTCTGAAGGCGTGGCTTTCCTGGCAGGTGTCCTGGGGGACTGCAGGAGCACAGGGAAGGAAGGAGGCCATTGGTGCCCAGGGTGCGCGGCCAGGGCTGGTGACCCAGCTCAAAGCCAGCCTTCTCCAGCAGGGCACCAGCTTGGGTTCCTCGAGGTCAGGAAACTGAGCCGGTGTCGCGGTGAAGTTCCCCACCCCAGGGCTCGACCCCCAGGGTCGGTTGGTCAGTTGGCTGGTCAGTCTGGTTTTGCTTTGAAAGTGATTGTCTTGCTGAGAACTGGTCATGCTACGGCAAATTCTAAGCATGCAGTGAGATGGTGGAGGCACTCGCAGGGCGCCGGTCAGGCCTGGCCAGGACGTGAGCGTGCTCAGGGTGATGGTGGCAGGGGGAGGAGCATCAGGGTGAAGGGCAGCCCAGTGCTGCTGAGGCGGCTTGGGGTTCGGAACTGTCGGGGTCAGTGGTCAGGAAGAGCTATGACCTGCTCTCCAGGCTGTCGGCCAGTGTGGTAGCCACCTGTCCCCTGCATGGCATAGTGTGCAGAGGGACCACAGCCTCTGGGGACAGAACTGTCTGCTGCAGAAGCTGAGCACGTGGGGCTTGAGGTGATAGGTTTTTCTGTAGATTTTAGAAAAGCATTGACAAGGCAATGCGGTGTTTACAGACTGTCACTGTGGGGTTGTGCACATTAGGCATCCCGGAGGCGGGAGGCACCGGCCTTGGAGGCGAGGGCCAGGACCGGCGTGCCTGAGGCGGTGAGGTGGACAGGCTGCTGACAGGAGGAGAAGTGCCTGACCTTTGGGGCTTTGCAGAGTCTGATCGGGGCCACAGGTGCGGGTGTGATGGAAGAGCCCCATCGTTTCTGTCATGTGGCCAGGGGAAACAGTTGGTGTTCTTCGAAGGTCCTAGAAGCCTCTGGCGAGGAGAAAAACGCGCCCTCCCACCACCTGGGCCAGCCAGGGAGGCCAGCGCTTGCTGGGCGAAGCCCACATGTGTGTAGAGGACCCAGCTTCAGTGCCTGCTGAGTGAGGGCGGGACTCCTGTGGTGGTCAGCTCCCGAGCCGGAGGAGAGCTGAGCAGAGGGGACACAAGGCGTGTGGCTCCGTGTGGCTCCGTGTGGCCAGCGGGCAGCAAGAGCTTCCACACGTGCCGAGAGCAGGAAAGAGCTGGAGCTGCCGTAGGAGTAGCGCTCGATGAACTGGGGGATTTTCTCAGGGAAGCAGGAGGAAGTGTGCTGGGCTCGGACGGCAAGCTGAGCCAGGCACTGTGGTGTTGGTATTCTGACAGGGGTCCGTGGAGAAGCCTGGTGCCCTGGTGCAGGTCTGCCAGGCTGGTGTGCAGTGCCCCAGGCCATACACTGTGCCGTCTCGGTGTGCTTCCAGTTCTGGCCTGAGGTTATGTCTTCACACCCTAGGTTCTGTGAAAGGATCCCCTCTCTTCCCCAATTGCTGGAAAGTTCTTGGTTGCACGTGATGAAGCTTTTCTGTATAGGTGAGGCCACAGACTGGCCCCAGGCTGCTGCTGCTGTGACTTGGTCCCCAAGTGGTTCCTGTGCACCTCCATGACTTGGGGGTGCAGGTGGGGATGGCGGGGGGCAGGATCTGCAGCCTCAGCCTGCTGTTGTGCAGGTTCACCGTGACCCTAAGGGAGGAGTGGGTGCAGCTGCGGGCATGCGTACCTAGAGAGCCGAGCTACTGCAGTGTGGCCTGTTTGGCCTTGAAGCAACTTCCTGAAGGCCGAAGACCTTTATCCCCCTTCCACATGCCATTACCTGCCCTCTGGGATAAATAGGCCGGTTTAGCTGTTGGAATAGCTCTTTTAGAAGACACCCCCGGAGTCTGGCACCCCCCAGCATAGTTGGGTGGGCAGGAGGGTGCGGGGCTGCAGCCTGTGGCCTCGCTCGCCCGCTAGGCAGCCGGACGTTTTGTGCTAGAAGAATCAGTGACTGCTCAGCAGAGCCATCCGCGGGCCACAGATACCGTTAGGACAAACAGATTTTGCTGTGACATGATCTAGTTTTATAATCAATCATGAACAAACCATATGTGGCTGACTTGCAGTTTAAAGGGTCCCTTCAGTGAAAAGGAACATTTTTTAACTTTTTAGTTAAGTTGAAACAAGACATCTCTTGTCAGAAGGCTTAACCTTTCCCGCCTCTGACTCAGGCAGGTCCACAGTCCACTTCAGATGCCACAGAAATGAACTACAAGAGAAATGGTACAATCTTGGCGAATGGGGATTGGAATCAAAAGGGTTTTGCTGTCCTTAGAATGTTCTAAAATGTCAAGGCAGTTGCTTGTGTTTAACTGTGAACAAATAAAAATTTATTGTTTTGCACTACCCTGCTGAATGGGCATGGAATGACTCAGCTGACCTGGAGGTGCTTAGGAGTGAGGTGGGGGCACTAACCCAGACACCAGTCTGGAGGGGCTGCTGGGGGAAGCGGCCAATGCAGGGGGCTGCCGCCTCAGGCCACTTGTTTGGCACAAGCATGGATCCCATCTGCTGCATATCCGTAGCCCTGACGTGACACTGCAGGGGCACAGAGAGGCCCTGAGAGCCAGCAGGCGGTGGGGCTGCGGGGTCAGTGGGCAGGGGAGGGCTCCAATGGCGTCTTTCTGGTGGAGCCTAGCTGCCGCTGTGGCCTACAACCCATCAGTGCTGAGCTGTTTGTGTTACTGCCCCATCTTGCCCTGGATGTTTTTTGGAGGAGGGCAAGAAGCTCCAGGCACCTGACTGAGTGCGCCAGCCTGGCCTGGGAGCCTGCAGGAAGGTACCAGTACAGATCTATGCCGGCTGGCACCGCTGGGTGGCTACACTCTGCCCACTTGGAGAGCAGAAGCGGCCCCTTCGAGACCTAGACCTCGGAGGTGGCAGGTTTGAATCTGTGTGGAGAAAGCAGGTTTTCTTGCCTGAGTGGGTCCATACGCTGTATGCCCTTGGACAAACATGAACATGGGCGTTCTGACCCCCGTGGGTCGTGAACACCAAGCCCTCCCAGGCCGACTGTCTCCCTGCCGTCTGCCAGTGGCCTTGCTTGGGCCGGGGCACTGCACTACACTGCGTTCCCTCAGTGTCACTCGGGGACAAACCAGAAGCCCAGCCAAGCAGAGAGGTGGTACAACACTTTGTATTCTCGACCGTCTCCCCCTGAAGAAGCAACAATACAGAAGCTAAGTCGTCCCCTGTGAAGGGAAAAACCTACAGTCAGACACCACGCCTGCCCGGGCCCAGGAGCCGGGGACACAGAGCTTTGGGCCTCAGCTCAGCGCTTGTTCCAAGCCACAGACTCAGACTCTTGGCTTCTGTCGGGGCCTCTTCACCCTCTCCCAGGTAAAGCAGTGGGAAAGGCGGGCTCAGCCCCTTGCCTCTGGCCCAGGGAACTAAACACACAGAGGTTCAACATGCAAGCAGGGTCACCCAGCCTAGCTCGCAGGGCCAGCCTGGGCCTCGCCTGTGGTCTTGGCTGTGGGGGCAGGGGACTAGGTGGTCTCCAGGCTGATGGCTTACACAGGGAGGTCAGAGCCCACTGCCTGGGTGGGTGTGGCTCAGAGCGGGCCCAGGCCTCAGTGCCCCTCCCCTCTGCCAATGGCATGGCTGGGGCACCAGTCGGGGAGGTTGGGAGGGGTCATCAGCATAGTCTCACACTTACAGGTGGAAAGCGAGACATTGAAGCAAGTGGAAGAGGGAGGATCTTAACGTGCACTGGCCCCTGGGGTTAGCAGCCAGGCCCGAGGACGCACCAAGAAGGGACCAAGCAGCGGAAAGCAGAGGCCGTGGTGCAGCACGCCCCCACCCCGGCTTGCTTACAGTTTCCCACCGGGTGGCCGCCAGGGAGGTTTGGAAAATTTCCTGCCTTCCCCCCTGGCTGTGGGGCCGTCTTTCGCCAGTTGACACTTGTGTTTTGTGAGCCACAGCTGGGGGCCCGTGGCTTGGACGGGACGGGCTGCCCCTGCGGTGGCCTGTTGCTGCGCTGGCAGCTCACTCACGTGCTGCAGTACTTTTCGGGGCAGCTTCTCCGAGTGAGCGATCCATTCTTTCATCAAGTCCAGCACGATGGGAATGAGGCTGACCACGCCCCCGTAGTGGTTCCTGGCCTCGTCACAGCTCAGGTGGTTCACCACGTCGTGTGGGTACCTGGAGGACCACAGGAGGGGATGGTGGGCGGTCAGCAGCAGCCACACCACAGACACGGCTGGGGGCTGCGGAGGCTCCAGAACTGGACATGACACGCCCAGACACTCTGTCCCCACAGATCCTGACTCAGGTCCTAGGGTGGGAGGACCTGCACGTTGAGCAGTGTGGCCCACAGAACCCGCGGTGAGGGGCCCAGGCCCCGGCTGGGCTCTTCCTTTAGCCCCCGACCCTGTGCTCTGGACTACCTGGGCAGGATGGCAGGAGAGCACCCAGAGAGGGTGCTGCCCCCATGGGGCCCCACGACTTCATGTCGGTAAGGACCTGCGTGGGCTTCTGCAAGCGGCCTTGTCTATGGCCTGGCTTCCCATGGGTCATTCCAACAAATTCAAAGTGGGGGCGGGAATAATCCACCCAAGGGAGTTGGAAGCCGCCTGCCCGCTGGGCCGGGGCTCCAGGCTGCCCCTGCTCTGCACACACAGGCCACACCTCCCCTGTGGGCCTGGGCTCCTGGCTCCCCGCCTGCTCCTGCTCCTCCCCACACACAGGCCACACCACGCTCAGGGGCCCCGGCTCCCAGCTGCCTGCTCGGCACGTGCAAGCCACACTGCCCCCACGGGCCCAGGGACGCACTTGGCCCTGAGGCTGCTCAGGTCGTTGCTGTGGCTGACGAGGGTTTTGCATTTCTCCAGGAGGTTGTTGGTGACAGGGGTGCCGGAGTGCAGGGCCTCAAAACGTTGGCACAGCTTGTTCAACTCCGAGCAGATGTCCAGGAACATGAGCAGGATCCGCCGGTCTGTGGAGTTGTTGCAGTAGTGCTCCATGTAGCTCTGCACCTGCAAGGCCGGTACGTGAGCTGGGCTGTGTGTGTGTGTGTGTCCACGTGAGCTGGGCTGTGCCTGCCAGGTGCCAAGGTGTGTGTGTGTCCACGTGAGCTGGGCTGTGCTGCCAGGAGCCAAGGTGTGTGTGTGTGTGTGTGTCCACGCGAGCTGGGCTGTGCTGCCAGGCGCCAAGGGGTGTGTGTGTGTGTGTGTGTGTGTGTGTGTGTGTGTGTGTGTCCACGTGACCTGGGCTGTGCTGCCAGGTGCCAAGGTGTGTGTGTGTGTGTCCACGTGAGCTGGGCTGTGCCTGCCAGATGCTGTTGTGTGTGTGTGTCCACGTGAGCTGGGCTGTGCTGCCAGGAGCCAAGGTGTGTGTGTGTGTGTGTGTCCACGCGAGCTGGGCTGTGCTGCCAGGCGCCAAGGGGTGTGTGTGTGTGTGTGTGTGTGTGTGTGTGTGTGTGTGTGTCCACGCGAGCTGGGCTGTGCCTGCCAGGCGCCAAGGTGTGTGTGTCCTCGTGAGCTGGGCTGTGCCTGCCAGATGCTGTTGTGTGTGTGAGTGCACTCCCTGTTCCTATGGGCCCTGGGCTGTGGGGTGTCAGTCGCGTTCAGACATTGTAATGAATGGCTCAGTGTAGCATCCCGTGGAAACGGATGCTCCAGGTAAGCTAGGCAGAATTCGAAACTTCCTGCATCACCTCAGTGTCTCCTAGTTCCAGGTCCATGGACATTCTGAAGCCCTCTCCTGTAACATCACACAGCATCCCGGGCACTGGTGCATCTCAGCACTCCTCACGGAAGCCCTGCACGCCAGGCAGGCCCCTTTGAGCACTCATCTCACACCAAGACCAGGGGTCCTGGAGGTCAGAGAGCAAGAGGCTTCACGGAGTCAGCCCCCTGTTCATGTGCCTGAGCGAGCAGCTGAGGATGACCCAAACCCTCGGGGCCCTGCATCTGTGCAGACCCAGAGGAAGTTACTGG